TTATACAAATATTGACAGTATTAGGCATCTATTGGGACTGAGTTGTCCTAAATTTTAAGGGCTGTACTTCGAATTATGAGACTTTTTATGACCAAACTTATCGTTAAGAGTCTCAACGAGTCCATTCCGCCGTCTGTCCGAGCTGTAAATTCAAATTTCTATTTTTAAGTTTAATTTATTCTGGAGATGGACTCAATACATTCAAATAATGACATGGTTTAAAAAGCTGTTTAAGATCACGGAACATCAAACTGCTTTGTGTTTATTAGTTTAGTAATAAACAAAAATTATTTTTTAAATACCAATTCCCTGCAATATTTCCATCCTGTTTCCAAATCTTTCAGTGTGAAATTTGCATAGACACCATTGTCTCCCATTAAACGAGGTTTATGTAGCAACAAAATGAAGCCCCTGGACATGGATCTGCCCGTGTCCTCCTTTTTGAAGTATAAATCCTCTTTGATATAACTGTTGCTGTTTGGATCATCTGTCTGACTCGTTACCATTCTCGCAGAGAGCTGTTACCTGATTAGCCGAGCGCTTTTGTATCGAGATTTAGGAAAACAAGAAGAGGGAGCCTAAATGGTGCGTCCGTGTTGTAATTTGGTCGGCTTTGTAAAGTACACTTTCAAAGCTTTCTCCATCTTTGGTTGTGTCTTTTTTTCTGATTGTAAGACAATACTTTCCCTCTTCATGTTTTTATTCCGTCACGTCTGAGACTGTCTTTCTCAAAGTCATCAAAGACCGACTGTGGCGCTGAAGTCTAATTGCTGCTCTTTCACTTCGTGGTTCTCTCTCTCTCTCTCTCTCTACGTTCTTGGTCCAATGAACACGAGTGCGCTAACATTTAGGCTAATGATTTTGAATAGTGATTAAAAATAATTGGATAGCTTCTGTAGAATCCAGAGCCTTCCATCATTAGTGGCCCTCTTTCTTTCGCTCTCTGCTCCTCTCTCTGTATCATCAGTGTTAGTGGAGCAGCGATTTCAGACGAGGCCTGGGGTGGGCTTTCATGAGCCGAGTCTCAAAGATTTCTTCACTCCTTGTAATCATGGACACCACTCTTTAAGAAATTTTACTGTCATCTTCCAGCTTCTTGAAGGTGCCTTTGATTCCCTCACATCTTAAACCCAGGCCGGATAGTGTCACTCTACATTTTTCCTCTTTCTTTCTAAACTCCCTGTTCTCTTTAGCACTTTTTTTTTTACTCCCCTCCTCCCCCCTACGTCTCCCATCCACGCACCCTCTCACCGAAACCCCTCGGTGTGTATTCATATTCATTGTCCTCAATGAGAAGCTGATTTAGCATTCTTCTCTCTTGGACCTCTCATTTCCAGAACCCTTGCATATTCCCTCCACTAACGTCCCTCCATCCAAGGCTCCCTTGATCCATTTTTTCCAAATGACTCATGCCCTTTGTTTTTCTTCCTTTGTTAAAATGAATTATGCAGAAGAGGAAAAAAAAAGTGGATTAAAAAGGTGCTAAAGCCAGTGCTAACGTCTGGGGTTCCCAGTTCAAACCATCTCTTAAATCACCAACGTCTGGGGTTCCCAGTTCAAACCATAAATCTTGAATCACCAAGGGAATCAGGGCTAACGGACTTCTATTTCACTCACCTGTTTTCTCTCAGTCCTGCTTTTCTTAGTCTATTTTACGTGACCTCTGCTCCTTCATATAAAGTCATCCTTTGAGCAAGTGTCCTGGCTTGACATTTTCAAACTGAACCTGTAATGTGTGTTCCTGTAGGGCACATTGGTTAAAGGCTCAACAAGTAACAACAAGTGCAGCGCAACATGAAACACTTAGTTTGAGAGGAATATTCTCTATATCATACGCAGACATTTTGACAGACAACTATTTACTTTTGTGTCAAACTGCGTCTGATTGTGGTTCAACATATACTGCCTCAGTAGAGGGTGATTAAAAAATTAAGTGAAGACCCGAGGTGTATTCCTGCTAATTCAGAAAAGAATAAAATGCTGATGGTGAACAACCCTGGTGAGCACAAGAAATGTGAGCAAAAGAAAATGCTGAATTTTTTTTGGCTGATTTTCTTTCATGTTCTGCCGTTTCTATCGTGTAATTACCTGTGTGAGTGGACCTGCTGTGAAAATGTGGAGTCTGAGATTTTACAGAGGAAAAATGTTGTTTGTTTACACTGAGTGGCTGGTGGTCTTGGTGCAACCCTCCCCTCTGGGTTTCCTCAAGAAAAACAAGCATCAGTGAGTCAGAAAGATAAATGGGCTTCTTGGTGGCTCCTTCATTTACATATACTATAGATCTCCCTGGAGTTCATCTGCATACCTGCCAGCCAGCATGTCTGTTACGGAGAAACCATTATGGATTGTTTCTTGATTTTATTTTTTCAAAGACCATCAATAAAATATGTGACTACAGATGTGGTTGTCAATTCACAGATGTGAAAAACTTTTAAAAATCTCAAAACGTGTGAAGTTTTGTGCAAAGATCTTCTATGTATTCATTATAATGTTGTTAATTAAAAATTAGGTAATTTCCTATATAACTTCTAAACATCTAATACTTCAGATTTCAATTCATGTATTTCAGATGGAAAATGTTTAAAATACATTTTTGTTCTGAGTTTTTAATTAAGAAATTTCAGTAAGAAATGTCATCATCGATGCTTAGGTCAGGACAACATCAACTATTTTCTGCTTTTTTCAAGATATTAAAAACAGGAGGTGTAAATGTAATGGAAAAGTGTATTTAACCAAATATTTTGCGAACACACACTGACATGGTTACAGCGTGTCAGTTGAACCCCTCCAGTTTGGCTCACGTTAGATGGTGACAGCGTTTTACGAGCGCTCTTTTTCGGTGTGCATTAATCCAACATGGCAGCTTTAATTGATCTGGTTAATGTGAGCTGTAGTGAGGACAGGAGCTCGTCCACCATCCCAGATGCCTCCTGGTTATTTTGACACAAAGACAGTCAAAAACAATAGACGGGTAGTGAGTGAAGAAAGTGAGCCAGGCCCAATTTAAAGTAACATAATACTGATGTGCAGCGCATCATTAGAAGAGGCAGGAAGGCTGAAAGGGAAGGGTAACTGGAAAGTTCCATGTGTCTGCAAAATCCAAACACCGCCCAGTTAGTTACCTTTCAGTCAGGCTTAGACTAATAAGGCTTAGTTTCACCTGGTGTGAGGTTCTCCATGCATATCAAAGATGTTTCCAGATTATCCTACTGGCTCGAGACGAAACACAAAAACAAAGCTGCAGGCGAAAAAACATATTTTTACGGTTCTGTTATTTTATGCTTCAGCTGTTTTGTTTTTTTTAAATAATTGACAAACCTTTTCCTTGTACAATTTTTTTTCAAAATGGAAAAATTCAAAGCTTTTGTACCAAACTTTGTCCCTGTATTTTCCAAGGGCTTTCAAGCCAATACTAATATACAGCTTTGAAAAGAATGTGATTGAGATAATATTGTCGTTGGACGTGTCTTGTAAGTAATTCACTTCTTTTTACTTACTGTATTTTTTTAAGTAGACAATTCTATCTTGTTGAAGCAAAAACAGCCATGCCATTGGTGGAGACACCTTTCAAACCCAAAGCTATTGGCAGATACCCTGCAAATGAATGAACCTTAGCCAGAATCTTTGTTATCATTTAACAGATTATCAGAGAAAATGTTTAAAAATAATTTTTCCTATTGTACTTTTGTGTTGTCAAATAAGAATCAGAGAAAAATCTATTCACAGATTTGAGATTTGAAACTATATATAAAAATAACTTGTCTGTCATTGGAGTCCATTTACAGGATAATGATGGTTCTTGGTTAAAGACTATAATCCTGCAGCGACTGTTGTTGGCCAGGAGAGAACAGCGGGAGATACTTAGTTAAAGTCACTTTTCCAGTACATCGTATTATTTTTCATTTTTGTTTTTGCACTGACCAAAATATGTGACCATTAATAATACTGAACTGACAGTCTGACTCATGAGGAGGAAGATGTGATTTACTCTGAAAGGAAAAACATGAAGGTGTCCCACAGTGAAGTGTGTGTTTTTCTCCTTGTCAGGAACTTGTGAGGAATTTTGGTTTTATACACAGGCTTCGAAATTCTTGAGACATTACGAAGAGGTAATCCAAGGTGGCAGAATAAAAATGTCTCTCACTGTAATCTTGTAAGGCTGCTAATCATGGTGCAGCCTCACGAGAGTCTGGTTGCTTTTTGTATGTTATTTTTATAAAAACAACTCTTGATTGTCAAACGATGACGCACTAATGCTGTTTTACATCACTGTATCCGGTAGTAATTATGAGTAAATCAGTGTTATTCTAAGGCCATATTAAATGAATTAGTGTGCACTGGCATTGATCCCAGAGCATCTGTCATGAGTTCTTTTTTTTCACCTTGGTGGTAATCTGACGTGTGAATTTCATCATCATACTTGGCGCCAAATTTGAGTCATTTATCAATTCAGGTAACATTTCACATTATGCCACTACCTGTTTTAAGAGTGTTGACAAGTCTAGCAACTGTTGGTTAAGTAGATTATGCAATTATCCCGCCTCCAGGCTACATGCCAAAACATGTCTTTACATGACACAACACCCAATGACAAACATTCATTATACTGTATATTCTCAGATGCAGTGATTACAGTGGAAGTGTCAGGTGTTGTCATACAGTTACACTCAATACTTACAAGGAAACCATTCCTTAAAATTCTAAGTAAACCAAGGAAATGAAGAGAGGACCATTGTGTATGTTGCACAAGAACGTTGCTGGCGACCGAAGCTGTGC